CTGGGCCGCACAGGTAAGTCTTCCCCTTTCTTTTCTGTTTTCTGTTTTTATTTAATATATCTGCAACTTTGTTGAATTAAATAAAATACCTAGACAATTCCAAAAATCACCAAACTACTCCTGGTCCATAGTTGGATTATTTCCAACATGAAACATTTTAGTTTGGAGATATTTGAGCATTTAAATATTTTATATTATTTTAAATGCTCAAATTCAAATAGTTATGATTTAATTCAAAAACCCTAGGATGGCCTAGGAAAATGTGCACCACTTTTGCAGAGGTTCTGAACCAAGACAAAAATGATGGGCATTTTAGAAGGGCATTTCAGGTTCATTGAAAATTATTTTAGTAAACCCTAGTTGGTTTCAGAGGGGACTGGGGGTTCTGTCATCCCCATTTCAAGTTTCTGCTGAAAGGGTAAACATGATGCAACACTCTAATGCATGACTAGCTAGGGTGTGACAGGAACCATCCGGACGGATCACTGCTCGTGGCTGCCTGCTGCAGTTGCGTTGAGCCACCCTGTCGCGTGTAGAGTCGCCCCGACTCACGCACCTTCATTTAAGCCGCCGGCGCTCTGTTTTTGCAGACGAGTCATCTTCGTCCATTCTCTGGTCCGGGCTGGTCGCTGCCACTGAGAGCCGCAGCCCGCCGGAGTTTCTGTTACGGGCCGGTTCACGGGCCTTTTTTGCCTTGTTTCCGCCAGAGAGAGTGTTTAACTCATTGTTGAAATTACTGGAAGTAATCTACGAATGGAATATATGACTCTGTCTATCATCCGTCGTCCAAACAAATCAGGTGATATCTATCCAAGTTTGTTTTATTAGCACATGTTGTTTTTGTCAAGAATAAGTTTGTCTTTGCCTTGGTCTGCAATATTGTTTATGCAGGGCAATTATTTATGACAAAAAGTGATATTATACCATGGAGATGAAGGCACGCCAACATCTTTTGGCACAGGTGGTCGTCGTTACTCAACAGACTCCCGCACCGGCTTACAACGCCGTGGCCGTCTCTCGCGACTGCGCCCGCTTACAACGCCGTGGCCGTCTCTCGCGACCGCGCCGGCTTACAACGCCGTGGCCGTCTCTCACGACCACGCCGGCTTACAACAAGGAGGACAACTTGCCCGTCTGCACCAGCTTACAACGCCGCGGCCGATTCATCTGTCTGTGCCGCCTCAGATGTTGCGGTCGTCTTTACCGTCCGTCTCTCACGGCCTGGTCTACATCAGCACATCGAGCCGCACCTGTCTGCATGAGCTATTTATTGAGTATGAGAAAGTCACTGCTTGGGAAGCCCGGTTTTCTTCCAACAAATTGGAGGCAAATTATCATATATTATCAGCCGCTGTCTGCACTGGATGGCTCAATGGGCAGGCGCACAAGTCGCCGTCACTACAGTTTGGTTAAACTTCAAACAGACAATTCGAAGGAACCATTGGCCGAGTTGCTGACATGGCTCATACGGGATCATTTATAAACCCGCCGCAGTCACCTCAACCTTCCGTGGATTCACATCGCGCTATCAACGCCAATGATATACACCTTCTGCTATGGTCAAATATGAAGAATCTCAAGCCAACTCCTCGAGTCGTCTTGAGACTCGGGGGCTACAATGACATGACTCAACAAATCATGCCAGTTTCAGCAGGCTCAAGAACTCCGGGTCATCGGAGGAAAAAATAACCCGGCCCTGGAGATTACTGCTCTATTGATGCAAATTTAAAGGCCGTCAGAAAAATATCCGGCTTAAAAAGAAGAATTCCGGATTAAAGTCCGGCTCAAGGTAAATTTGTCTCTCACAAAGCTTTGAAACTCTCAATATCCGGCTTAAGAATTTCTGGTTCAAAAAGAATTAATCTCTCGCAAATTCGAGTTCTCAGACAAATTAATGGTTACCAAAGAGAAATTGCTGCCATGGTGCACGGTTCAAAACATGGGTATCCTGCCTTATGGCTTATTTTATTATGGTCACTTGGGGGCTTTCTGCTCATCGGGCATAGCTATCAGTACCCTCTTGATCGGTGATGCAAAAATTTATATGGTCACTTGGGGGCTTCCTGTTCAAACATAGGTCATATTCGAACCAAAGAGAACATAGCTGTCGATACCTTTTTGATTAGCAAACTGCTGAACCTACTTGGGGGCTTCTTGATCGTATCCGAATCATAGCTCAACCCCTTTGGGAATCGACGTGGATCGTATTCGAATCAGCGTCGTTAAACAACTTTTAAGGTCATTTGGGGGCTTCCTGTTCAAACATAGGTCGTATTCGAACCAAAGAGAACATAGCTGTCGATACCCACTTTGATCGGCAACGCCAACGCCACTGGGGGCTATATGATCGTATTCGAATCTTAGCTTAACCCCTTTGGAATGTTTTACTGGTCGTATTCAAATCAGAAGCCTTAAAATTTTTATATGTTTTTATACAATCGCAAGTATTTGAGTTGTCACAAATATCATGTGTGTCGGCTCTTGCAGAGTTGAGTTATCAACTTCACTATCCGGGTCACATAAACCGGCGGTATCATTCAAAGGATCATAGGGATCTTGTGATCTACTTGTGTGCAGGATAAGACTACATCTAGGTGGTTACCCGCCATGGCTTTTGACGTTAAGTCGCCAGGGCATATGTTGTTTAAACTCTGTGCAGGATTTGCAGAATTATGACTTATATAAATGCTTCAGTCCAAGCTCATCACTGAAAATGGTGTCTCAAAAGGGTTATCAATTATAGATTTTCTCAAGGGCTATAGGCCACCGGGTTACAAAAATTCCGGTTTACAATGAATGCGTATTAAGTCGTCATCGGCCAAGAGTCGCCAGGTTGATTTACTTGTCAACCGATGAGGTATTCAAATCTTTAATAGCCAAAACTGGCTAGATTTTCATGATGATATTGAATGATTGAGGTTTTCATACCAGATTATATTATTCAAATCTCGAATAGCCAACATGGCTGGATTTCTATTGTGATTATCAATAATCAGTGTTATGATTGAGGTTTTCAAAGTCGCTTTAGCGCAACGGCTATTATTTTTATTTATGGATATGATTTATTCTACAATGGAAGCAATAGTCCTGAGTTGCTGCAGGCTTACGACCCGACACTTGGGGGCTATATTATTCAGATTGGGATTATATCAAATATGCAAGTCCTATGTCACTGCCAGCATGCACCATGGCACTTGGGGGCTAATGCAAAGTCATTTTTCTCAACTTATTGAAGACCCGATTCATCACATTCTAAATGAGTTGGCCCTTGGGGGCTACCAATTGCTCCTGTCAAAAATTCAAGGTACACAAGCATTAATCCATTATATTGAACGGTCCACTATTCAGTTGGTGGAGCACAAGGCTCTTAACCTTGTGGACGTGGGTTCAAGCCCCATGGTGGAGACTATATTATATGATGTTACTGTCAACAAAGTCCCAGCTCAGTATTATTTTACTAAGCCGGCCCTTGGGGGCTACACATTGATGTTCAAATTTACATGGTTATATCTACAAAGTCCCTGCTTAGTATTGCATAATGACCCGGCCCTTGGGGGCTACACTGGTTGAAGTTTTTTGAGCATCAGGCAATTTCAAGTCCCAGGTTGCTGCAAGCAAGACAACTCGGCACTTGGGGGCTATATATATGGAGTATTCAGTTTTTACTAGTGACTGAGATGAACATGGATTTCTTCAAAGTGGCAGTAATTATATGGAAACAAGTCTCAAATCATCACTTTGTTCTGTTCAAGACTTGGGGGCTACAAGTAATATGGATATAAGGGAGAAATATCTTCCAATTTTCAGTTTTGAGCAAACCAGATTGACCCGGCATCACCAATCATTATGACCCGGTGTCTACAACAATCATAACCCGACGTCATCAATAATTATGAACCGGTGTTAGCAACAATCATGAACCGGTGTTGGAAACAATCATGACCTGGAATTATCAGTTTTTATAACCCGGCAATTTTGACAATGATAAACCGGCAAGTCCTACATTTTCAAACCGGCGGATATCACTTGAATATTTGAAGACCAATATTTTTGTCAAGTCAGCGCATTGAATGCGGATTCAAATGGATTCTTTATTTACAATATTTATTCTACAAGTAAATTGATTATGAAGCTGGTCTATTGACCCAGATTTTCTAAAAGGAGGAATGACAATTGGAATTAAAGGATGGTCAGGTGCCGGTTTACAAGAACTTTTAACCCGGAGTACAACTTGTCAAAGTTGTTTCTTGTGTTTGTTTACAGGATCAGTTTACCATGGATAAATTCAAGCTAAACTTGGGGGCTAATGTCGGGGATATACCCCGCGGTGTAACCCGGCCGGAAGTATAACCCGACCGGACTTGGCGACTCACCAATGACCCGCCCTGGCTAGACGACTCACTAAGTGACCCGCCCGAGCCTGGCGACTTATCGATGACCTGGAAAGCGGATCAGAGGAGCGACAAGAGCTGGGGGCCCAGGAGGCTCAAGGCCCAGAAGGCCGGCTTACGTTATGGTAGGCCGGCTTAAGAGGAAAGGCGTGAGGAATATCTTCCTCACAAGGAATCAAGACCCGGACTTGTATCCGACTTGTAGTAGAAGATAGGCTAGTCCAATCCTATTTGGACTCCACATGTAACCCGCCCCTCTAACTTATATAAGGAGGGGCAGGGCTCCCCAAAGAAGCAACAAGAAACAATCTCTAGGGATAGACACAACTAGAGGAGAGCTGGTTTACGGCGACTCCTTCATGAGCATAATGAGACCTAGCCTCAAACAGCATGTAGGGCTATTCCGGATGATGTTTCCCGGGGCCCGAAGCTGTCTAAATCCTTGTCTTGTGTGTTGCGTCTCTCGTCCCGATCAACCCCTCTCAAGCTACCGCATAGATGCGTTGGCCGCGCAACTAAGTCCTGACACTAAGGACATCTGCCGTGTTAATTCCACGACAGTAAGCAAAAGATGCGGAAAAAATGGCCCATAGAAGAAATAGTAGATACCTGCATCTTCATGCCATCTTCAGCAATCCACAAGTAATCATAGACTCGTGGGATATGGAGTTTGAATGCCTCTGAGTTCTGATCTTCAATCCAGCACGCAAGCATATTCATTACCTGCAAAGAATTTCTTTCAGCTATAAGTTGAATCATGTTTAAAGAACCAATTAACAAATATTGCATAAATATAGTAAGATAGATCTACAATTCTAATACCAGTTTGCAACCTACAAACATGAAATCAAATCAGCTAGAGATGGAAGCGGGTCAGGATGAGGGTACCCTTTACTCTTTTTAGTTCAACAAAATGAACTAACTTTTTCAATGACATCATCATTTTGAAAAAGTTAGTTTATTTTCTTGAACTAAAGAGAATAACTCCACAAATATACAGATCCTTTCTCCAGTAAAGCAACATGAAGTGGAGAAGAAGTAACTCCACAAAAAGTGACAATCAGAAAGCCAGAAACACAATGTAGTTCAACATGACTGAGGAACTCAAGATATCAAGATGAAAGAAGATAACATTTCAAGATTATTGGAGAAAAATGAAACTAAATAAAGGGCAATAGTTTGCATGTTCAGCACTGTTCAGCAGTCCTCATGGCACAGCAAAATGATTCTTTTACCAATTGGATGCTAGAGCTGACAATATGTAATTATGGTACAAGCAGTGATGGCAAAATTAACAAATCATGAAACATGCTGTTGAAACATTCTGTTGCAACTTTAATTTAACCGAAAGCTATAGCGGAAATATTTTTAGTCCACAAAGCAAGTAAGGTGGAAAAAAGAAGGGCAGTGAAAACTGCATGCTACAAAGCACCGCAGACATGAGACATAAATAAATGTATATTGAAGTTGCAAGAGAATGGCCTTGTTGTGTAACAAAGTTTTTTATATTAGAAGCAAGGAACAGAGAAAAGAAAATGACTCCTTTCCTTTTGTCAAGATTGAACGTGTCACTCCCCAACGAACCTTGTTTACAGGACCAATGCAAATGTATCGAGTGTTCTCATCTTCATAGTGAATGTGCTTCATGGCAGTTTCCAAAGCTTTCTCCCTCAGTTTGCTCCCAGGCCAATGCATCATAAGTGGTTCAACAAATTTATGGAGAGTGGCCCATAAGATATCTTGAACGAATGGATGCGGATAGTACAAGTCTTCCTGCAGTGCAGTCATATAAGAACTCCAGACAGAACTAAATGGACATCTCACAAACAAAGCGAGATAAATATTATTGTATGAAAGCTTATATAAGCTTCAAGACTGACAACTTTTCAAATAGCATCTATCACCTGTTAATTAGAAGCTCATGTGAACAGAAGGACTTTGACACAAATTTGTGTCAAAGATGTCCCATGATGGTATTTGGCATTACAGATCTGGATCACTCGACCTCATCAATCTACTTACATTTTGACTGAACTAATATTTCCTGCACCAAGCTGTGCCCACGGAGACTTCTAAGCATGGGAATACATGCATGCTAGGAAACCTCTCCTAGATGTACTTCTGAAACTGTGTTTTTAACACAGACACGGTTAAAATGAGGCTATTTCAGCAACTCAGCATACTATTTTTGGCAGTGGGACTTCTCAAGAACTAGAAGCGACGACCACCTTGGCCAAGATCAACTTGAAAACTAATGGAAAAAATCTGTGCTCTGTGGCACATCATGCAACGAACTTGTGCCACAGTTTATCCCACATACTAATACCAATAGGTAAGATTAAGCATAAAAGTTAACGAACCTTAGCACATTGATTGCGAGTCTTGTCCCAATCAATCTCATTATAGGGGCCTTTGTAAAGTTCCTTTCTCAATTCCAAAACAAGTGGCGTAACTTGTCCGACAAATCTCTTTCCATAAATGTAACACATTGGCAAATACACCATTCGACAGTGACACCACATTCGCCCTGCAAGGTGTTGTAAAGCGTAATAGCTATCAGCAAGGAACAACATAGCAACCTAGAAAAGAATGCAGATTAATATGCAGTGATTAAAGTTGATTGTTGGCCATTAAATGAAGTAAAATTGATATATGGATGAAGAATTTTATTGTGTGAGATTAATGGCAATTAGAACATACAAACAAGTCATGGTACTAAAGATACAATCGAACTTTATGTGGTAAGTTAACATAGGACAAAATCATGCACCAATGCTCACACCTGTAAGACAGAGGGTCGAAATATCTATTGTTTAATAAAAAAACTAGGCCAGTAGGGGAAAGACTTCCCCCACGGTATTCTCAATAAGAAAAGCTCAAACGGAGCCCGACCTAGAAAGCTCATCAAAGCTGACCACACCCAAATGGGGAGTCCGCCCCCTGTGGTTTGAGGCCTAGCCCCGTACATGAGGGCCCTCCCACCACACAGGTCGGTTCGACTCATGCCAGCCAGGGGAGCCAGCAAGTGACCTTTTTAAGGAGACCTGAAATTCGCTCTTATGGGGAGGCGAACCCAGGGCCTGGAGGTCTAAAGCATCACAACCACTACTCTGAGCTTGTTTGCTATCTATTGTTTAATATTTAATGCAAATTCTATATGAACCCATAGCATATAAACTATGTCATTGTTTCATTAAAGTCAGCGGCCAGGGCAAACTTGTATCTCAAATATTTTATGCCCTGGACACTTGTAAAAGAGTACACACTTGGCAATGTTTGTCATCTGAGTGGTAGCATACACTCCTTCTGTCCCAAAATGAGTGTCGTAAATATGTTTAGATATGGATGTATATAGAAAAACTAAGTCTAGATACATCCATATCTAGACAAATCTGAGACACTTATATTGGGATGGAGGAAGTATAACATTGTGTAAAGTTATGGATGATTAAAGAAAGAAACCAGAACCTGGATGAAATGGCAGGCAATATGGTAGCAACCATGCTTCTGGTGGCACTGGGTTGTTACCAGACCAATCAAATACACCAAGTACCTTAAATAGTTGGGGAGTTAGATTAATTCAATCCCACCAAAGAAGGAATCGACTAAGAAAACAAACAAAGAAATGTTAATTCCCTACCGAGAGCCAAAATTTTCCCCATGATGGTACAAACGTTGCTCCTCCATGGTCTAGAATCCAATTTCGATCTTTCTCCATAGCTCCATATCCACTATCTGTTCCCTCTCCAAGCAATCTCAAACTGACATAGGTCAAGGCTGAACCAAACATGGTGCTTGGTCCCTCAATGTGCAAACCCCAGCCTCCATCTCCGTTCTATGCTTCCAGTAAAAAAAAAGTGTAATTTTTACCCAAATTATGGGTGACAAAATTTAGAACTGAAACCTTGCCTGATGATTGAAGGGGAGCCTTGGCGTAGTGGTAAAGCTGCTGCCTTGTGACCATGAGGTCATGGGTTCAAGTCCTGGAAACAGCCTCTTACAGAAATGTAGGGAAAGGCTGCGTACTATAGACCCAAAGTGGTCGGACCCTTCCCTGGACCCTGCGCAAGCGGGAGCTACATGCACCAGGTTGCCCTTTTTTTAAACCTTGCCTGATGATTATAGAGATACCGGCGGATCTCAATCTGATGTTCTGATGATAAGACAGTGTTCAGTGCTCCAGTCACATACAAGGTTATAATCTGAAGGGGAAAAGACAATGAGTAGCTTTCATTTAGGACAAGAAACGTGGAAAATGGGTTTCCACATAATCCAAAGATGATATTCCTGTCACAGTTTCCATTTTAGAAAGAATCCATATTCGTGCTTAGACACAAATACGAGACAAGTAAGACAATTTCCTATAAAGCATATGACAAGATTAGACACAGAATGCGGTTGAGCAATGTGTATCCAAATAAAGCAAGCAAGTTTGATATTTTACTGTTATGTTCAAGGAAGTACCAAGCCTGGCATAAGGAACATTGGACCACCATAATCCCCCGGCCAGTGTCCATCATGTGCCTGGAGAGTAGAAAGGCGACTGATGGCCCTTTTCAAAGTAGTTGATACAACTTCCTCAGTAACATCTTCATGCTCTTCCAGCTTGACAGCAAGAAGGTCCAGCTCAAGAGGATTTGCTTTAGCAAACTGCAGTATACAAGAGAATAAACATTTTAAGTGATTGGAGATAATATGCCATGGTAAAGAAGATTTCGATGCCATGTGTTTGGTCAGTAACAGTACGTATCATGCAAAAAACCCTCAGTGCTCAACTTTGTAACCATTTTTCAGGGGCTCAGTGAATTTGACATGGAAGTAGGATAAATTAGTAAAAGAAGAACACGTTGACATCAAGTCATCAAGCATTGCACGCTTGACAAACGTGTGCTGTGTGATGGACTGGTGGTAAACTATGGTTTGAAAGATGGAATTGAAGCACTGCGCACGTTTTAACACACAACAGTAACGGAAGAAGAATAATGCCACAATTTTGCAGCCATCTGCTAATCTGACAGATGAAGGCTGAAGCTCTGCAACCAGTGAGAGCCTATCCCGGCTCACACACCGTACCGATCATTAAAATAAACTAGCCATAATCCCACAAAATATCACAAGTTCAGTTTACCCATCGCTAATTGAAAGCAATATAATGGTGGTTAAGGGCTGGTTCACGGGAGACGGGACCTCCTCTAGAATCTGCCAAAGTGATGCTACTACCGCTTGTTCCAGTCGAACGCATGATGCCACATTGCCACTGATCGATGGATTGATCGACTAACACGCAGCTCGCGCCAGCCAGGCAAGGCAAGGTAGGAGACGCATCAGGGCATCGTCGACGAACCAGGACAGCCGGGAACCATTACCTGGTTTCGCATGACGAGGTCGGCGCTGTGCTTGAGCTGGTGCCTCCGCGCGACGAACCCCTGGCGCGCGGCCTCAACGGCGGCGACCTCCTCGGGGTCGGGCTCCACGGAGGCGTCGAACTCCCACACCTGGCGGCCCAAGTAGCCGTTGGTCGTGCGCAGCCACGGGTCGTCCCCGCCCTCCGCGATCCTCAGCCGCCACATCTCCTGCTCCTCCCTCGCAAGGATCCCACCACCACACTGCGGAATCCGCAGGCGATGCAGCGACGGCGTCGAGGTTCGGCTCGCGTCGCGCAGGTGGGCGTGGGCGTCTCGTTAGTACAGTATGAGCGAGATTGCGAGAGGGAATGACTGCCTGCAACTGCAACTCTATAGCAGGAGGGTTTGTTTTGAAATTGAAATAAAATGCAAGCGCGGTCCTAATTCTTTCCCAAAAGTGTCGGCTGGGTCCTAATTCTTTCAAAATGCACATCTGGGTCCTAAATCTTTCTAAGTTGTTCACCCGAGGTCCTAATTTCGACTGTCCGCCGCTGACCAGCTCGCGTGGCGCTTTGACCGCTGCCACGTCGACTCGAGGGCCCACGCGGGATAGTTTCCGCGGTTGGAGGTTGGTAATTTAAGCAGTTTGGCCCCTGGAGTTTGTCCTCTCTTCATTCCCCGGTCCCTAGGTCTTCTGCTTGCTCTCTCCCTCTCTCTGGCGCCGCGCCGTCGCCGCCATGTCCGCCGCCGCTAGCTCTTCTGCTGTGAAGCACCGCGGGAAGAAGGCTGCCCAAGCGCCTGCTCCACCTCCGGCGTTAGCCCTTTTCTCGCCGCCCATCTCATCGCCGGCTGCCGCGGGTATGCTGCCGTTGGTACCATGCCCTAGCTGCCGCATTCGATCTACAATTCGTCTTGTGTCAAAATCGAAGGCAAATCCTGGCAGGATTTTCTACAAGTGCCCCAATCACCATGTAAGATCTTCTTCAAACCAATCGATTTGATGTTTCTGTGTTTCTTTTTGACTGAATTTTTTTTGCTCAATTGCTATCAGATTCAACCAAATCCTTGCCAACATTACTATTGGAAAGATGGACCAGACAACTATTTGGATTTTTTGGTGAGAGCTGGGTATGTCAGCCGTGGATTGAGCAGTTTAGATTCGGCTGGTGTCATTGCAAGTGAAGAAACAGAGGTGCAAGATGCTTGTGCAGGAGCAATGCATAGCACTGTCGAGATTGTGGCATATGCAGAAGCAATGCAGAAGATGAATGAGCTCATTTTTCTCTGTAGGAGTATTCTCAGTGCACTTGTTGTACTGATTGTAGTTGTGGTGTATGTAGGATTTAAGAAGTGATGTCTTAGTATGATGTATCCAATGATCAATGCTTGTTGGTGTATCCAGATGTTGATGATTTACTGTTGCAATGAAATTGAACTAAAATTTGGCAGCATTTTGGTTGTTTTTCTGTACTTTGGCACCATTTTTTTACTAGCATTGACAACACAAATAAACAGTAATATGCAAGGCCATTCTTTTACTAACTGAACTTCAAAGCAGTCTGAAAGATAGATAGATGGACCAAACATTACAAGGTCTTGAAGTTGTGCAACAAAAGTATTACATTTCCATGGTTTGTGTGAAACCCAAAGCCACATCTTAGCATGAGGTTTCATTACAAACCACCTTGTTTCCTAAGCAAAAGAAAAACATCCTACACTGCTTCTTTCCATAACATCTTTGTAGCTCTTCACTTCTGAGTTGTTGGGGCTTTGTTCTCCTTAGTTTTTTTCACTTTCTTCCTTCTCTTCAAACCTAGTGTAGCAGTAGTGTGGCTTCTTGGAGCTGGCAGGGCATCTCTGCAGTTTGCAATGAACTGGCTTTCTGGTAGAGGAGCTGGCACTGCTGTTTGAGATTGTTGAGTAGCTATAGCCTACAAACCAACCAAACATGTATTTAGTAATGTAGGTGAATTTCTGGAAGAACAGATGACATTGCATTTATTAACATTGCATTTAAATAAAAAGCTCTCACTTGGTCCTGTAAAATCTCAATCATAGTAGATGAAGCAAGATCATAATTCATAGAAGAAGATATCATATTAGATGTACTTCTGCCCACTTGTGGACATGCCTTTTTCTGCAAAAAAAATAAGAAATGTTGTTGACTATTGCAATTTTAGTTTTCAACGGCATTTAAGGGAAACATTTAAGGGAAATACACCTTGCAACTGGGCCTTCTCTTGACTGGTAGTTTAGTTCTTTGTTGTGTTTCTGGAAGCACAACCTGAATTGGCACATGTTCTGTTGTTTGCACATGTTCTGCTGCTTCCTCTTCTGCTGCTGGATATTGTTCTGCTGCTGGATCTTGTTCTGCTCCTGCCTCATGTGCTGCTGTTGGTTGTCCTCTACCTAGTTCAGGGCACTTTCTTTTGTTGTGTCCTGGTTGATTGCACACACTGCAGTGTCCAATAATGCCATGTCTGCTCATCCTAGTTCCATTGTCCTCCTCTAGTGGGTTCTTCTTTCTCTTCTTTCCAGGCCTACCAACTTTCTTCTCATAGTGTGGTGGCAGCATTTGAGGCCCATTAGTTTTAGGCCACACTCTAGGATCACTACATGGCATTATGATCTTGCCATAAGCAGCTCTGAAAGCATCTATGCTGTAGCACTTGTTGACAACATCCTCTGGTTTAATTCTTTCATGTCTTAAACATGCAACTCCATGTCTACATGGAATTCCAGAGAGCTGCCATGCCCTACAAGAACACTCCTCCTTCTGTATGTTCACATCATACTCCCCAACCATGCCTTTAACATGAAATATGTGTTGTCCAGCTGGTAATGCAGTGCAGTTGTTGGACATGTTAATATTTTTGTCCAGTTTTTTTTCTAATTTTTGGACAAATTTGACCACACATCTCCTCAGATTCCAGATTCTTGCTATAAAACCTAGTCATTAATTGGTCCTTGATCTTCTTAAGACAAGTAACTATAGGCATTTCTCTGGCATCAAGTATATACCTATGAAATAACTACAGTTAGATAATGCTACAGTACTGACAATATGAAATCACTTCACAGCTGAAATGCTACAGTACTGACAACTTACTTGTTGAACACTTCACAGCTGTTGTTAAGAAGCAAATCACACTTTGGGAGTTCATGGAAATAGGCCTTGCACCACTGCCTTGGGTCAATTGCATCCAAGTACTCATAGGCCCCCTGGTCCAACTCTTTCATCTCTTGCATGTACTTCTTCCAGTCTGCCTCATGTGTAGCTCTTGCAATTTGCCACAATTTATTCTTGAATACATCACCTTTCCAGTTTTTTGCAAAGTTTTGATGCAGATGCCTCACACAAAATCTATGTTGTGCATCAGGAAACATTGCATTGACAGCATTGATCAAGCCCTACATACATTGTAGAACAAACAAATGAAATGCTACAGTATGATAATATGAAATGCAACAGTATGAAATGCTACAGTATGAAATGCTACAATGTTGTTACTACATTCTGCCTATCACTCATCAATGTCCATGGTGCTGTGTTTTGTATGTTCAGATCCTCCTTCAATGTGTTCAAAAACCACTTCCATGTGACAGTATCTTCCACTTCTACTATGGCAATTGCAATGGGAAAGATACAATCGTTAGGATCAACTCCAACAGCTGTCAGCATCACTCCACCATACTTGTTCTTAATGTGACACCCATCAATGCATATAATGGTCCTACAAGCTAGCAGAAAACCCCTTTTGCATGCATCTAAGGACATGTAGCAGTTATCAAACTTTCCATTGTTTGCATGCACAAGCATGGTACTGCCAGGATTTGATCTTCTGATTTCAGCTGCAAAGTCCCACAGTAAATTATACTGCTCAAGTTCATCTCCATGAATTATCTTTAGTGCAATCCTCCTTGCTCTAGCTAGCTTACTTCTAGTAGGTTGCATGTTGTAGTCCAATTGAACAAGTCTGCCAAAGTTTTGCAGTGTCATCTTCTCATCTGCTCTAAATGTTTCCACATACTTGCCAGCCAAATATCTTGCTGTAAATTGCTTGAGTGCCCACTCTCTTTCACATGTATGCTCACCCACATACTTCTTCACAACCCATGCTTTGGTCCTGCTGTCAGGTGCAGCAAATAAGAACCAGGGACAATCTCCAACACAACCTGCCGTTATCCTCTGCTTATCATTCTTTATGTAATGAATTTGCACTCTTTGCTTCACAATGTACTCCTGAATTGCTGCTCTTAGTTCAATGACAGACAAGAACACCATGCCTATGTGAAAATTGACTTCTTTCATGTTCTCAGGCCTCCACCTTTTTAGCTTCACTTTCTTTTTCATTTTTTTCCTTCCTTGTGCATCTACTACTTCCACTTCCTCTGCTGAATCACTATCTTCAAGCTCTGAACCTTGTAGCTCCTGCAGTTCATCTGTATCATAGTCACTGTCCTGCTCCCATTCAGATTTCTTCTTTTTTTTCTTCTCAAATTTTTCATCAACCCATTCTTCATATAGATCATCATCATCTTTGCCTACTTCATTGTCAGAGTCTACCCAGTCTGAATCCCATTCACTGTCATCACTATCACTGTCATTGTCATTTTCATTGGGGATTTCTTCTTCTACCACAAGTTTCCTCCTGCTTCTTCTAAGCTCATGTCCAACATTTAGTCCCACTGGTGGAACACTGCTACTCCCTTCATTGCTGCTACCTGCATGACATTGGTTCAGTCTGCCTTTGTGAGCTTTCACCTTAAACCTGGGACTTCCTCTTATTCCACTGCTAAACCCATGAGATTTAGGGCTTAGTACAAGAGGTAGCTTAGGTGTACCACTAACATGAATATCATCCATTACATTGTCAAAGGCCATATCTTTGTGATCAACAAACAACTGAAACAATTGGAATTTTGGAACAACTGCTGTCATGTGCAAAGTGTCAGTGTCACAGTCCACAATCCGCAGTCCGTCGGCTAAATTCTTTCCAGGCAGTAACCAGTAAATAACATGCTTAGATTGGTCACTATATCCCAGTTGCTGCATAAAATCAGTGAGCCAGAGAGGAGACCATGTATCTACTTCGCAACCATCGAACAAAGCAACTTTACCATCGACATACGTCTTCGATCGGCCAAATCCGCAGAAAAATCCACCATAGTTGATTTCTACGGTAAAAACCTCCTCTTGTGCTCCTAGGTATCGAGGGATTCAG